GCAGTGCTCTACCACCTGCACCACTATGGTAGGGTCAGGACCCTCTAACATGATCTCCATGATCCCCAAAAGAGCCCCAAGGACTTACTAGCTCCTCTCAAAGCACTTCTTCCATAAGTGCATTTTACTTTATTGGTTACATTGTGCACTGTGCCAATTTGTTAGAGAGAAAGCTGCCACTTGTGAGTTGTATAATTAAGATAAAAGGCCAAGCTGAAAGTAACATTCAGCATGTATTTATTTACTGTGATAGTATAAAGAAGAGTCAAAACAGGAAGATGCTCCAGCTACACTACTGTTCCATTTTCTCCAAGGAACAACATGAGGCAGGGGTCAGATGTATCAATGCAGATGGGAATGGGACTTGGGAGAGGCTCATCTTGCAACTGAAAGAGAACAAATGAAGAGGAATAAAAAGGCTCTGTCCCTTGTATAAGCCCATAAGCTTTGTAGATGTTGAGGGGAAGTCTGTGACTACAGAACTAAATGATGAGTTGGAACTAAAAAGCATCTTTAGATTCTACCGATAAAGTGGTCTAGGGCCAGCAAGTGGCATGGTGATTAAGACAGATGGATCCCACATGGCCAGCTGCAATCCCAAGGCTTGAGAAACACACCTAACACACCCAAAACTATGTAAAAGGCACACATGCCATGTGCATGTGTGCCCAGAACAATCCCAAGAGGAAAACTGGAAAAGGAATTGCAGTGTAGCCATCCTCCTGGGGGATACTTTCTCACTTTCCCTCTCTTTCTCTGTCTCACTCTGCTGAGCACACACACCCAATAGCTAAAACTGACTAACTAACTAAATAAATAGGTCTAGACAAAGACTTCCAAAAAGCAGTGTGTCAGATGAGATATCCTCATTTCATGAGGAGGCCTTTGATGGACACGTCTGAGATAGGAATGAAGAACCATAAGAGGATAGTATGCAATGGACTTTCACATTTGACTGCAACTACCTCTAGAGTGCAGCTCACTGGCTGTGCATCATCTGGTGTGAAGTAGGAAGTTTCCCTCCTTGAGAATTTGTAGGTAGGGACTTTATAATTGTCTATGATTGGGCCTGAAAAGTCAAACATAGAGTTTTGGCCTGGATTTGGGGTATATATGCACATATACACACATACACATACACACATATACACGTATGTATACATAGGCATATTAGATACCTTTAATTCTAGTTCATCCCCACAGGTCTTCTTGCTTTCCTCCATTTCATATGTGTATGTCCTTTCTTCTGCAGTGTGAAACTGACTCTGAATAGCTTCAACATATTTGTTCATTTACTCAGTCCTACAATACTTCACAAATTGTTTTGGAATTGCTTAAGTGTATTCCATTGGTAGTACAAACCTACTACAACTATTTTGTAATTTATCTTGTCCCCAAGAATAGGGAGTTATTATCAAATACTATGTTTATGAATGACCTATATTAGTGCTTTTCCCCCCCTTCAGTAAATCCATTTCTTTAACTTATCTCTCTGTTTTAGTCTCTTATATTTGTTGACCTTATTTCACTTTTGGAATATGTGGAAAACAAAACTGCTTTTAAGAGTCAATAATATGGGGGACCAGAGTTGGTATAATGACTGTGTCACTGGACTCCCATGTAGTCAACCGTGGTTCAAGTCCTGGACCTGGTGGCTTAAATCACACTAAGTGTGTGTGCATGTGTGTGCCCAAGATCCCGAGAGGAGAATGGAGGAGAAGGGATTGCTGCGTGGTCATCCCCCCTGGGGAGTGATTTCTCACTTTCTGTCTCTCTGACTCTCTGTCTTTCTGGTGAGTGCATGTGCCCTATAGCAAAAAAACCTCTCCAAAAAAAAAAAAAAGAGTGAATAATATGTAAAAGGCATACTTAGAAGAAATATAATTTCTTCCCCAGTAGTGACTTCTCATTTTGTAGGTAACCAGCTGCAGAGTTGTCTGACATCTACTATATCTTCATTTGTAAAGATAGTTATCTGTTTCTACTCCTCCTTCTCTCTTTCTATTTCCCCTTCTTTCTTAACCAGAAGTTAGCAAATGAGCTATCTTTTTTCAGTTTTTCCCTATTTAACATAATCTCTTATTGTTTAAGTCAGTTTACAGAAATTTTTACTTATTATATATTTATCAGCATTTAAACTGTACCGAAGTTTATGGTATATAACTTAGTTTATTCAACCAATCTTCCATGCTTGAGCATTTATGTGGTTTTAAATATTTTTCATTTACAAATAATACTATAATAATAACCTCATGCAGAAGAAGGTTCTACATGGCTCCAGTGAACTAGATTTTTCAGGGAATGAAGATTTTCTACTGATAATTCAGCCTCCTGCAAACGAGCTAGCGCGATCACAACAGAACGGCAAGGAGATTCTAGATCACCTCTGTCTGCTTGCTCCTGAACATTCAGGCTGAACTTCAAGAATTTGAAAGAAACACACCATCCATCAGATGATAAGAAATCACCGCTGGATCATGAGAAATATGGGAAAACAAGAAAATACCTCTCCTCCAATCTTCATCCACAAGCAGTTCAGTGAAAATCATGGAAATGTCTGATAAGGAATTTAGAGCATTCATAATGTCAAAGCTAACAGAGATGGAAGAGAAGAGAGATAATGAACTGATAAAGAGAAAGGAGAAAGAAGTTGACGAGTTCCAGGAGATGAGGAAATTCTTGCAAGATCTAAAAGAGGAATTACACACTTTACAAAAGACTCAAACGGAACTGCTAGAGATGAAGTCTATAATACAAGAAGTAAAAGTCTCCCTTGAAAGTATTAAAAGCAGACTAGATCATTCAGAAAATAGAATCTCAGATGTAGAGGAGAAAATGGCTGGCCTAGAAAAATCCACCATGAAGACTGAGAAAATGGCACAAAAATTTGAGAATAATATGCGAGAACTACTGGATACCATCAAACGTCCAAATATCCGGATA